GTGTGCTAAGCTCCTCTTTACATTCCTTTAGAACCCTTGCATACAGTTCATCAGGGCCTGGGGATTTGTTAGGTTTTAATTTATCTATTTGCCTAAGGACCATGTCACTTGCGACCCTAATAGTGCACAGTTTATTATCGTCCTGTTCTACATAATTTATCATTACTGGAATATCGCTGGTATCCTCCTGTGTAAAAACTGAGAGGAAGTATGTGTTAAAAATTCTACACATTTCCTTATCACTGTCAGTGAGCTGACCCGAGGAACTTTTGAGTGGGCCTATCTTGTCCCTGATCTTACTTCTGTATACCTGAAAGAATCCTTTTGGGTTAGTCTTCGATTCTCTTGCAACTTTAACCTCATAATCTCTTTTTGCTTTTCTAATTCCCTTTTTTATTTCTCTCTTTAACTGAATATATCGATTTCTTAATTGCCCCTCTCCTCTTTTGATTTGCCTATATATGCCTCTCTTTTGACCAATCAGATATTTTAATCTATTGTTCATCCATTTAGGATCATTTTTGTTTGATCTGATTTCCCTATTTGGAACATAATTTGACTGAGCAGCTAGAACTATGCCCTGGAAAGCATCATATCGGCAACCATCACCACCTACCTGACCCCTAGTCAGGTCATTCCAGTTCAGCCCACCTAAGTAATTTTTCAGTCCTATGAAATCAGCCAAGCGAAAGTCAGGGACGGAGACTTGATTGCCATTATTAGGGGAATTCCATGATATGTTAAAACTGAGTGATTTGTGATCACTCTCCCCAAGCTCATCATTAACCTCAAGATTATTAATTAGTGTTTCCCTACTGGCAAGAACCAAGTCAAGGAGGTTATTTCCCCTAGTTGGCTCTGTCACAAACTGTTTTAAAAAACAATCCTGGATCGTATCAAGAAAGTCACCCGACTCTAAATTTCCTGTCAAATTGCTCCAGTCAATCTGTCTATAGTTGAAATCTCCCATTAGCACAACATTTTCGTATGTAGATGCCTTACGAATTTCGTCCCATAGAAGTTTACTGCACTCCCTATCAAGATTTGGGGCCCTGTAAATCACACCCAAAATTAGTTTTTCTCGGCCCTCGAGAAGCTGTAACCAAACAGATTCAGTGGCTGACGCTTCTAATTTAATATCTTGTCTAACACAACAATTTAAATTGTCTCTGACATACATCGCTACTCCACCACCTTTCCTGTTGACCCTGTCAGTGTGGAATAATTTATAGCCTTGTATGTGACATTCAGAGGGCATCTCTCTATCTTTCAGATTGAGCCAGGTCTCTGTTATAGCAATAATATCTATGTTTCCTGCACTTGCAATTAATCTTAGCTCATCTATCTTATTTCTAACACTCCTGCTATTAGTATAGTAAACCTTAAGGGAGCTAGTCCCTTGCTGCCCTCTGCTGTCCCCCTTTGTTTGCTGACCTGTTCTATTGTCTTTATTTATAACTTCATGCTGAATGCCTTTTATACATTTACTGTTTCCAACCCTAGTGTTGCAACCTGCTTGTTTCCCACACACACCCATACCTCTATCTTCCATCAGTTTAAAATCATAGGCATTTCACCAATGGCCTTCTCAATCGAGTCTGCAAGTGCTACCACCCTGCCCCAGAGAGATGAACCCCATCCCTTGCATACATATCATGTTTGCCATAAAAGTTGTTCCAGTTGTCAATGAATGGGATTGCAAGTTCCTTGCAGTATCTGTCTAGCCAGCAATTTACACCAATTGCCCTAGACAACCATTCATTTCCTACTCCCCTTCTAGGCAAGATGCTACATATGATTGGGATCCCTCCCTTAGACTTAATGAAATCTATAGCTGACCTGTACTTATCTAGCAGCTCTTCTCTCCTACCCTTCCCAATATCATTTCCACCAGCACTGAGACAGATAATGGGCTTGTTCCCATTACCTGACATGATATTATCCAGTCTGTTGACAATGTCCCCAACACCAGCTCCAGGGAAGCACACTCTATCTCTCATCTTCTTATTCCTATTACAAAAAGCACGGTCAACATATCTTACCTGAGAGTCACCAACCACAAGAATGCGCTTACCTTCATTAGCAGGGGCAGTAGTACCCTTACCTTCACTGACTCAAGGCTAAGGGACTGATTACCTCAAGTTCCTCGTCTTCCACCATTCATCTCTGTACCGGACTGAGGAAGTCACGAATAGTACACAGTACTGATAAGTTGATGGTATCTTGTTATAGGAGGTATTTTTTATGTACAACTCTGTTGCTAAAATCTATCACTTGTTTTCACTTATTTTCACTAGTGGACCGCGCTCACCTGTGGCATCATCTCCGACTACACCACACTTCCAGCTCCACTATAGAAGCCTCTGGCTTCTATACCGAAACTGGAAGATAATGTGATCAGTCTGAGGGACTGATCACCTTGTCTTTTACTGTCTCCACACCTTATCGAGGTTGAGGGACTGATTACCTCGAAGCTACCTCACCCCTTCTAATACTTCCCAGTAATGGTAACACCTCTGTATTCAGCCGATGACGTCTGCTGTGTAGGCGAAATTTTTTACCAATAAAGATTCCTAGTGTCTCATGCGTCTTAGTCATCATCAGTGTCATGTAAGATGATATTCCCGTCAGAGAAACTTATATATGAAATCATTTAGTGTGAGAAGGGATTTTTTTTTTTTTAGTAAAATTGGGTACAGTCGCAGCGTGCTGATGCCTAATTCTGCATGATAGGTACATGTTGGAACAAAAGCTAGCTGTGTTTCGGTCATATTCCATCACACAGGATGGTTTTCATACTTGAAATAACGAAGCCTGTTAGCCTGACCTGGGAATCTTCGAAGTATGACTCTGCGTTCAGTAGCTACGGTAAGGGGCTCTTGATATAAGGAATTAGATTTGACATTTCCTTGGATAGAACTTGATTGCCTTTCCATTTTGCAATACCCATGGATGCACTATTACGCAGGATTGTTATATCAGGATGGGGAGATATTATTGGAGTGTAAGGCGGTGTTGGTTGGCCTCAGCGAGGTGCGATGGATCACCACTGATGGTGGTGATGCGGGAGGGATAGACGGAGACACATGGTGGTGTGATGTAAATGGTTTCGAAAACCGACGATTTGAGAATTAAGAAGCTTGTACAGCATTTGGGAATCTTTAACGAAGAAACATTTCGCCAGCCAGTGGCTTCAGCCCAAATGTTGCGCAAGTGTCTTATTCCTCGATCTTTGTGATGGTGAAAGTGGTGTGGGGAAAAAGACATGAGGGGATGTAACATGGGGCTGCTGCTTTATATGAGCATTGGTGGTGGTAATTGTGGTGGAATGGAAGAAGGGTTGTTGGAGCAGGACAACGAGGGGTGTAGTCAGTGTGGCGGGTGGTGATGGTGGTAGGATAGTAGGGGTGATGGTTGGGTAGGTGGAGGAGGCAGGGAACCAGAACCATGCCCTGTAGCGCCTCCCATACATAACAGGGAAGGCGGACCCCGCCACCCTGCTTATACCTACGGTACACCACGTGATCATTTATCATTCTCATTTATCATTCTACATTGGTCTGCCTTCAGTGAGGAGCTAACACTGGTGATAACGCTACTTGTTGATGTGTGAAGACTGTTCCCACCACCCTCTTTCCTCCCTCTCTGGCAAATTGTGTGGTGCTCCCCCTTCCCTCCTAGCGTCCCCTCCATCACACCCTTCCTCCATCACTTCTCCCTCTCTCCCTCCAGCACTCCCTCATACTTTTCCCAGCACCCCATCCCTCCCTTCAGCACGCCCCTCCCTCCAGCACGCCCCTCCCTCCAGCATGCTCTCTCCTTCCCTCCAGCATTGCCCCTCACTCCAACACACTCCCTCCGCTGCCCAGTCATCCCCTCCCTCCTTCCCTCCCTCCATCCATCCAGCACCCCTCCCATTCCTCTCCATCCGGCGCCCTCTTACCTCTATCCACTGCCCCTTACATCCATTTAACGACCCCTCAATCACTCCCCTTCTGCAGGACCTGTGTATTTGATCCTTCTCCTTCTATAGGAAACATCACTGGTACGATTCTCTAAAGAGTGCTGGCAGGTGCTGCTGCTCTTCCCTCTAGCTCGCGGACCGCAGCTGAATGTGTAACATATTTTAACTGCTTGCCAACGACTTCACTTTTCTTTTACGTCGTGCTTTTTGTCATTTCCGGTGCTCCTGTGGGGATTTCATGGAACTTTTGAGTTTTTGGCATTGATACTAGATAGGAGCTAAAAGCAATGAAACTCAAAGAAATCCAAAATACTTAATCTCGTATGCCAAAAACAAGGCAAATATCGCATCCAGTTTCAGGCCCCCCTGGTCAAACAAGATAGGACTTAGACGACAGCAAAAAAAAGTGTGATACTGAAATGTCAGTATGAGTGTGTGTAGTGAGCTATTAATCAGACTAAAGATCGACAAGCCGAATGAATTTTTCATGAACGAGCCTCAAAACTTTGTCAATATATGAAAAATTTCTAACATAACCCTAACACTCTTCACTGACTCATGCACTCTGTCCCAGGACCAGATTCGCGGAAATCCATGTTCATCAGAAGCTGCATGACCCCTTTCTTGTGCCTTAAATATGCTATTAAAGGTAGCCTGGACACTGATGTCATTCCACAGTCGCTAAAAACAACGTATATAGCCCCACTCCATAAAGATGGTAGCAAAGCAATAACAGATTTATAGACCGATAACTCTAACGTCCCACATTATAAAAATCCTTGAAAGAGTTCTAAGAAGCAAGATCGCCAATCACTCGGATTCCCAACACTTGCACAAGAACCCTAATGGAAATAAGTCACTTTGTCTTGGTAATTTACGCCTATGTTATTATGTATTATAATTTGTGTAACTGTATTTGTGTGTACCTGTACCTAAATAAACTTACACGACCCAGGTAACATGGGTCGCTCTGGCAACAATAAGATAACATTGTATCAATGGTCACAGATTATTCAACATCAGAAACACTGCTGGAACAAGTGTAGAAGTCTTCAAGAAGAAACTGCATGTCTCCACTAATTGCCAAATTAACCAGGCTGTGATGGTTATGTGGGCCGGTGGGCCGCAAACAAGCAATCACCAGACCTTGGGCCGGACTCCGGGCACAGGACAACTCTTTGAAACTCATCAAAGGTGGTTCAGTAATTTTTATATATTTTTTTTTTAGTTGTAATTTGGACATCCTAAACGGTATTTTCTATTTTTTTTGGTCAAGATCACTAAATTCTCTCCCCCCTCCCTCTAGCGCCCCTTCACAACTGCAAAGAAAATGATAGGATGGATAATGAGAACTTTCAAAACAAGAGATGCCAGGCCAGTGATGATCCTTTTTAAATCACTTGTTCTCTCTAGGCTGGAATACTGTTGTACATAACATCTCCATTCAAGGCAGGTGAAATTGCAGACTGGACAGAGAACTTTACTGCACGCATATTAGTTCTATCACACACCTCGACTACTGGGAACGCTGGGAAGCACTTGACTTGCACTCACTGGAATGCAGGCGAGAGAGAGATATCATAATCTACACTTGGAAAATCCTAGAAGGAATGGTCCCAAATCTGCACACAGAAATCACTCCCTACGAAAGTAAAAGACTGGGCAGGCGGTGCAAAATACCCCCAATTAAAAATAGGGGCGAGATTGGTACACTAAGAGAAAACACAATAAGTGTCCAGGGCCCAAGACTGTTCAACAGCCTCCCACCAGGCATAAGGAGCATTACCAGTAGACTCCGGATTACCTTTAAGAGGGAGCTGGACAGATACTGTTGGTGCCAGATCAGCCGGGCTGTGGTTCATACGTTGGACTACGTGCGGCCAGCAGTAACAGCCTGATTGGTCAGGCCCTGATCCACCGGGAGGCCTGGTCATGGGCCCGCCCGAGGGGGCGTTGACCCCTGGAATACCCTCCAGGTAGACTCCTGGTATCTATGTTGGGTCCCCCCCCCTTCTCATCTTTGACTTACCACTAGCAGGGCGAGCAACCATCCACCCTTCCTGCAACCCCTGTATCCTCATCCACCTTTCCCACCACCCCTGTATCCCCACACCTGCCCTCTACACCTGTATCCCCACCCATGCATCCCTCCAAACCTGCCCTCTACACCTGTAGATAATAAATGAACTAGGGAACATGCCATAACCAGGTTGTTTGGTCAGAATAATTTCCTGGTTAATCTATGACACACAATCCACCACCTTATACCTTTGATGAGTTCCCAGGGTTTTTCTGCTCCCAGAGCCCAGCCATGGTCCAGGTTCGTCTGGTGTTTGTCTGGCCAACCAGGCTAATGCTGAAGATTGAGACACTTATGCAACATATGGGAATCTTTATTGAAGAAACGTTTTGCCACACAGTGGCTTCATCAGTCCAATACAAATCAGAAGGGTGTAAGGAGAGAAGGAGTTTGAGGTAATCAGTCCCTCAGCCTGGAGTCGATGTGTTCAGTCCATCAGTCTTGTAGAAAGTACAGCATAGGGCCAAAGAAGTGGCTTATATACTGTAGTCAGGCGAGGTGAAGCAGGAGGCGGGGTCATAGTGGTACCATCCACTAGTTGAAGTAGGTCTTCGTCCAAAGCTCGGATATTTCTCCTGCCTTGAATGGGGCTGTCAACACTTTGCAATATTCCAAATAAGAGAGCACTTGTAAGTGACTTGAAAAGTATGACCAATGGCACTATCTCCTTTGTTTGGAAAATTCTCATTATCCGCCCTCTCCTTTCTGGCTGTCATGAGGATAATTAAAACAAACTTATTCTCCAGTTTTATTCCAATCACTTCCAGCATTTCATTTTATGATAAATTTTATGTAAATCTTCTCATTATGGCATATAACTAACTTTGGTGCATATTTGAACCACAACTTCTGCCATTTCACATGCATCATGCTTTTTTCATTAGCATGTGCCTGTTGGAGCCTCAGGAAACTCTTTGACATCCCCTGTGTCTGTCTCACCCTATGCAAAAATGCGGTACACATAAAGGGCCCCAAGATCTGGAATTCATTGTTCAAAGCAGCAAAAGGTCTCCTGTCTGCCAATCAATTGAGAGCTATATTTAAAAATCGCCTCATCTCCCTAACTTAACTATGCAAAAACTATGCTTTACCAAATAAAACCAACTGATAATTACCAAATAAAACCAACTCATCAGTACCAGATAAAACCAGCTCATCAGTACCAAATAAAACCTACTTGGCAATACCAAATATAACCAGCTTGTCACTACCAAACAAAAGCAACTCGTCTAACCACTTCCTGTCTTGTTACCATCTCTTATACCCGTTCCATTACTTGAAATCACAGAGCCAGTTAGAAACTTCTTAAGAAATCCCAATTAACTCAAGGTCACTGAATCAGTTTAAAGTATTAATACATATCTAAATTTCTACTATTTTTGTTACCTCTTGCAGTAATGCATACTTTAAATTGCACCACTTGATGCCTATGTATAATCTTAAGTACATAGTAAGTATTAGGATTAGTCTGCCCAAAATGCATATGCAAACTAGTAGCTTTCTTTTGTGCTTAACAATGTTTTATTACATGTAAGCTACATTTTTTATGCTAGACAAAGAAATAAAATTTGCTCAGTTTGTTTGACATTAGGAATTTAATGTTTTTAAACTAATGCAAGCTATCTTAACTTGGTGTGACAATATTTGCATTGCTTATTCTTGTTTCAGTAACTTATTTTGTCAGCATAGTTGCTGATCCCCCTCATATGTTGTGTAGCATAGCTGAGTATCATAGTTAGTACCATCCATATGTATTATATAGACGGCCCCTTGCTAGACTTAGCGGCTAGCATGTGACATCACGTGATGCGACAGAGCGTCAGACGCTCTGCCTCTCTCTCAGTTCATGGATAGACCTACAGGCGGCTACAGGCAGGCTGGGCCATTCCCCTCACAATTCTGCTAGTATAAATGTATACAACCCAACAAGTGTGTTTATCTCCAACCATCATATCTCCACAGAACCCTCTCAACAATTTTCTGTTACAGTAGACCTTGATTTTCATGATTAATTCGTTCCAGAAAGTCTGACGAAAACCGAATTAGTACGTATATGAAAACTGAAGCAATATTTCCCATAAGAAATAATGTAAATCCAATTAATCCATTCCAGCAGTGGCGTCACTAGGGTTGGTGTCACCCGGGGCGGAATCTCTGGTGTCACCTGGGGCGGCATCTTTGGTGTTACCCTTGTGAAATCCAAGGGTGGGGGGGGGGGTAAACTCCAGTTACGTGACTACTGCATGCCCAGTGACTAATGTTTAGCAATGAGAATGTTTAAGGGCCATAAACCAAACAGGAGAATACTTCTCAACTTTATTAATGATAAAATAAATTGTAGTAATATTGAGGAAACATAAACTCAAATTCCACTTTGAGTACAGGCAACAGATCCTACATTTATTCATCTTCAACAATGCAAAAAAAAAAAAAACTTGAAAAATAATGAAAAACACTGCATATCAGAATGGTGTACAATACCGACAAGTTGGTAGGTGAGACACATAGGCATCATTTGGGCAACTTTATTCTGAAGGTGAAACGTTTCAGAATAAAGTTGCCTAAATGTTGCCTCTGTGTCTTACCTACCAAAAACATTGCAATATCAGAGAAACACTAGTTCCAATTTGACCTTGAGTACAGGTAACATCTCAGTGAATCTGATCTTACATTTCCTTGCCTTCAATCCTGCAAAATCATCTGTCACATCAACAACATCAATGATTTTGCCCTGTATAGGCCTTTTTGTACTCTGTAATCATATAATAGGCTATATAGAAATGAAGGATTTTTCTCTTATGTTGCTGCAGCACTTTTGTGCATTAGTGTCACCTTCTTTAGAGGCTCTATGGTGTCACCCCCCTAAATGGTGTCACCTGGGGTGCTTCCCCAGATGCCTGTGCATTCCAGACACCCAAAAATATTAACAAAAAAATATATTTTATAGAGAATACTATAACTATAATTTTACATAGAGAAAACAATGAGAAATAAATATAAATGACTAATGAAATGGATAAATGAACATTTAACATCACTTTTACCTTTATTGAAGACTCTTGTTGGTGTATGGAAGATGGCGAGGAGGGGAGAGGGAGGAGGAGGAGGAGGAGGAGGAGGAGAAGTTATTGTTTGGAAGGGGAATCCCCCTTCATAAGGACTTCAGGTATCAAGGCCCTATCTGGGGTTACTTCCCTTATTTGTCTTTTACTGGCACTAGGACCAGTTTGAGAGTCACTGGACCCCTGTCGCACAAAAAATCTGTCCAGAGAGGTCTGTTTCTGGTGTCTTTTTAAGATTTGCCTAAAATGGGACTAGGCATTGTCATTGAACATGTTGCAAACATGGCTTGCAACAGCTTTGTTAGGGTGATATTTCTCCATAAAACTTTGCAGTTCATTCCACTTTGCACACATGTCCTTAATCATTGAAGAAGGCATATTCTCATAATGCTCACTCAACAAGAAACAAAGCCAAAATGAATCAGAATGTGTGGGAGGCTCTGTGTGGGCTCGGGCAGACGGACGTGTTTGGTATGGTGAACCATTGTCAACTCTACAAAAACTGAGTGGATGTCCGAAAACTGGGACAAAATTTCAACGAAAAAAAAGTCATCGAAAACCCAATCCTACAAAAACCAGAGCATACAAGAACCGAGGTTCCACTATACTTATTTTTACATTTTATGTGTACATGGTATTTTATTTTTATTTTTTATTGCAAAGAGTACCGAATGATTCAGCAGGTTAAAGTTGTCTTCAATCTTTCAGTTTTATTTCTTGATTTATTTTTTACATCAAACATACATGCCCCTTCCTTCCCTCCCTCCTTCACATTATAATAGTACATGCTCTTAAGAAAGCTTCTGTGTGACCGTAGTTGGAGAGTTCCTCATGGAATCTTATCTTCTATACAGGATGGGTGAGTGTGTAGGAGAGACCCAACTGCACCTACGATGGCACTCCCATGCCACCACCTTCACCACCATGCTGTCAGACCTCCACCATGGTCGAGCCTACACTGACGTCTCCCTGGTGTGTGATGGAGGCATTGTCAGGGCACACCGGGCGGTCCTCTCTCTCTGCTCCCCATATCTAGGTAACAAATTTTGGTTTACCTTGACCCTTGGTTATTCCTAGGGTGCATCGAGGAAGGTAGGCTACAGAACTATGAATACCTGGGTTCCTCACATTATGAAAAATATTGGATGTACAGTACTGTATATCATTTCAATCTTAAGTTTTTAATTCACTATCTACAGTACCTATGTAAGTTCTTCCCTTCAAGGGGGTACCTTGATGCTAGTTAAGGGCTCATGATTCAAGGACTTAGAGCTTCATTCCTTTCCCTTGAATCAAACCTGATTGCCTTCCATTCCCCAGACACATTATCACAAATAGAATAATAGTTGTTTGAGTTTGCAGAGGATGGAAATTCCTCAGGGCAGTGTTCTGAGCCTCTTGTATTTTAGCATGGCCGTGGGTGGTGTTATCCTTAGTGGTATCAAGATTTTGTGTGTGAATCACTGGGCAGCATACTGGTCTGTACATGTTATCATTGGTAATTATTATAGTCATGGATATTCATAAAATATGTAAATAATTATTATAGATAATTAAAATGAGTCATTGCAGTACACTGTATTATAGATGTTAATTGTAATTATATATTGTAGACAGTATAACATACAGGCAGGTCCCGCTTTATGGCATTTCACTAATGCAGCAGTTTTCAATTATACTCATTCTTCATTTATTCAGACTTCCTACTGTATGTACATTTTTTAGGCCTAGCTCTACTGCCCACCTAATATATAATAGTGTAAAAATGTTATCAGACTTATATATGCGTTTGAAAGTGAAAAAAAAGGCTATTTCGCTTTACAGCAGTAGCCTGGAACCTAACCTACTGTATAAGTGGGGCATTCTTGTGTAGGATTGCTTACAATTAAACGAAATCATGCGGTTATTTTTCATTTCTTCTCCACAGCTGATGTGCTGGGAGCATGTCCAGACACTGATGCCCCTCTGCTCTTACCAGAGGTACCGGTGCAAGATGTCCTCTACTTGGTCTCCTTTATATACCGTGGGCAAGTCGATGTCCACCAGCAACACATTGCATCTTTCCTGAGGACTGCCAAACACCTCCATGTACTAGGACTCGAAGAAGGGGACAGAGTACGTATTATAAATGCAGAATTTAGTATGAGTGTGTAAAAAAATGTATTTTTTAGCATGTACATATTTTAGCAAGGATACTTAAAGGATACTTCTGGGAATCAACTGCCTTGCGACCTGGTCCCTTACCAGGCCGCCTGCTGGATCATAATTTGATCAAACAGGCTGTTACTGCTGTAAACTGTTAAATTTATTCATTTTAGTGCATATTTGAAGAAAAAGTGTTTAATGTGTTGATATAAATGTATATTTTAGTATGTTTTTGTAAAAATGTATATTTTAATGCAAAGTAAAAATTATGTATTAATCTTGGTAAAAATTTCTATTTTATATCATATATATATAATTGAAAATATAGGGATAGGGATCATACTGTACCTGGAGAATAGGAAGTAAACATGTATGATACAAGGAAGGGGAGGGTAACTACAATTTCTTACTGCAAGAGCCTCCGTCAGCATCGAGGCACCACCTTGATGGGTCTCGGTACTAGCCTAAAAATATGTAGCGAGTAGGGTGTTTGAGGGAAGTTTTTTTTTTTTTTATTTTTTAACACTTTGGTCATATCCCACCAAGGCAAGGTGACTTAAAAAGAAAAAAGGTTTTTCTATTTACATTTGGTAATTTATACCGGAGAAGGGGTTGCTGGCCCCTTGTTTCCAACATTTTAGTTACCTATTATGACACACACGGCTTACAGAGGAAGTATAAGAATAATTTACAAGTGTTTGGTAAGTAAGGCATGAGAACAAAGCAGTAAACCAGTAGCAGGAAAGAAAAATGGAAGAGAACATTCAGAAAAACACTGTGTGTACAATAAATAAGGAAAAATAAAAAAATTGAGGATACAGTACTTATAAATTTCACATTTCTTAGCACAAATATATGCATAAAACTTAGAGAAGATAATGGTAACACTGTGCCTCCATTGACTATTTACAGCGAAAGATTTTTTTTTTTACAGCTTGTAGATTCTCCGAGTAAGTCTGACACAAGCTCTAGTACATCGGGTAGTGAAGCTGGTGATGAACCACCCACACCACAGTTTGTTAATGGAAATAATAACAATGAAAATGAAGAAGAAGAACCAGATGAAGAGGAAGAGGAAGAGGAGGAGGAGGAGGATATGGTAAGAACTTTATACAGTAATATTGGTTTTCTTTAAAAAGTTTAGTTAACCTTTTCACTGTCCAGATCCCCAAAATTAAGTGTTCAGTGTCCATTTTTTTTTTTTTCAGAAAAATAAATTAATTTTTCCTTCCAAAATTGCAGAGAATCTTTTCCTGAAGGTAATGACACCAAAATTAAAAAAAATTGATGGAAAACTTATGGAATTACACAGGTGCAAAGTTAATGGTTGGGGAAATTTTATGCATTGGCAGTCTACAGAATTTGAGTCCTATTTTAAGCCAGTTCCAGTTTGACCAAATTTCTAGCAATATTGCTAGTATGCCTTCTAACAATTGAACACATGACACTGCCCATTCAATTATTAGAATTATTCTCTAAAGTGTGCAGAATTTGATAATTTGGCCAGTTTTATTCATGATTCAACAAAAAAATGCCCATTTAAAGAGTCTACAAAATAAACTTCAGATATTCCAGGCACTAAAATAGCATTTCTTCTGTGCAAAAAGTCATGTCTTCAAGCCTCTCTTGCATTACATGGGCTATGGCATCCCAGTAATCATACAAGGCTTAGTAAAAAATAAAACTAGCTGGGGGTGTATGGGAGAACTTACTGTCCTCAGGAATATCAGCAGACATTTAATATTTCCACTACTTTGAGGTCAGTTTCAAGCTGCTTCCTGTTATGGAGCAACCTAAAATATCTCTATTTCAGTAGTATGTCTTTCTATCAGTTAACAACCAATAAAACAGCCAATAAAACCATAAAAACCATCCTAGAAAATGCATCTAATCCCTATTTTAAACCAAACATAGTCAGAGTTTTGCTTTTCCCATTATGCACTGCATGAAGCAGGACTTTTTTTTATACTGTGCGCTCTCTCCACACAAGACCCATTCTCTCATATCTAGACCCAAATTTACTGCTCACAGCCAACGTGACAAACTCTGGCATAAATTACATAGTCCTGTATGATGCCAGTCAAAGGGTTACACATGTTCATTGTTCTTTAAAAACTGTTTGTAATTGTGATAATTATAAAGTGGACACTCCAGTGTGTCTTGAGGAACAATAAATGTAATATCTCAAGAGTGGTAAGTTTATTTTAAAGAAATTTTAATTATTGTAAATCTAGAAACTAGAATGTGTACATGCTTGTATAGTAATAATTTTGATAACATCAGCCATATCCCAACAGGGTAGGGCTACCTAGTGAAGGAAATACATTCACCAGCTTTCATTCAGTAACTGTCTTGACAGAAGTGTAAAGATATCATAGTTCAAATGACCCTCCAAAGTGCAACATCTCCCCCCCATCCTGTAATGATGTGATGCTTAGTCTCGTACCTATCTTTCAGAGTGAAAGAATTGATGTAATCAAGCATGAGGTGAGTGTGAAGGAGGAACCCTCTGAAACCACTGAGGCTGTTGTTGCTGATGTTGCAAGCGATGGCAGAATTGACTTGAATTTCTACCTCCAACAAGCAATTCAAAGTGCTTCCATGCCTTGCCCATTATGTAAGAAGGTGAGTTCAATTTATTTAAATTGTCTAATTTTATTTTATTTTTTTAACCTCCAGGGTTGTCTCCTGCCAAGGCATGATCTGGAGCAAGAAGCACATTCACAATCATTCACTCATTGTGTCTTCCTACAGTGTCTTGTATAATTTGTCTTTTAATATACCAGTCATCTTCCTCCAAGGCAGGGTGACCTGAAAAAAGAATTAAGAACTTTTCTTCTTTTTAAATTTAGTAATTTATACAAGAGAAGGGGGTTACTAGCCCCTAACAAGTGGCATTTTAGTCACTTATGATATACATGGCTTATGGAAGAAGGACTCTTCTCCATAGAGTATAAAAAGATTACTAATATATAAAGGGATAGCAAGTTATTAAATAGTAGTCTTCATTGGAGGTATGGTACTACCATCATCTGATAAAATTGTGAAGTGAAGGCTTGATAAACATTTTTTCACTCTGGCAGGATTATTGGTGTCTTTTTGTCAGTCTTTAAGAAGATCGTAGGTAAATTTTATAGAACTTTTACTTGCATTCAGTGTACACTTATATCCTATCTTTTTTGTACGTTTCTTATTAAAGAATTCAAAGGCACAATACTGTGACTGGTACAATATAGAAAGGACTCGCACATAGGGGCCCCCTTGTCTCTCGTATATATACTGGCTCGCTTCCCTTCGCACTTGTGTGTGCCTTGTTAATGGTCTGCATTGGACCAAAATGTCACAAGTTTAAGTGTTCTTTGTCTGAGTTATTTGTGTACTGTTTCCTACTAGTTCTTATAGAGTATGATTATGGCTTTTCATCTGGCAGGCACATAAGAGTTACTGCATGGTGTTAATCACATCACATCATCCAGCTCTCTACATAGATTCTGGATTGCAACTACATAATGCCATAAAAATATTGTTTTGAATTTTGTTGTTTGGATAGTTTGTCATGAATTTTTTTTATACAGTAGAACCTCAAATATCGAACTTTCTTCGGTCCAGAAGGCTGTTCAAGTGCCGCTACCAAATGAATTTATTCTCATCAGGAATAATGTAAATTAGATTAGTCAATTTCAGACCCTCAAAAATACACTTATAAAAGCACTTACAAAAATACACTTACATAATTGGTTGAGTTGGGAGCAGTTCGATTTTCGAGGTTCCACTGTATACTGTATCAGGATAGCCATATGTTCCTGAAAAAAAAGTTCTGCTCACCCAGACTGCTACTGCTGGTCACGTACAGTCCATCTTACAAACCACAGCCTGGCATGTATTTTTTCTTTCCAAGTCAACTACACTCAGACAATTAGCTAACATCAGGGTATTTGGTAATGTCTCTTATAAAAGGGAACCATTTATTTCACAGTCAGTCAGTCCCACTGTCCAGTTCATGCACATTCTAGCCAGCCACTTCTAGTAATGTTGCATGTATACTTCATTTTCACACATCTAACAATTAAAAATATTTTTGGGGGCTTCCAAGGAATAAAGCCCATTCTTGTTTTGGAAAAATGCTTGAAGGCTTTGTATACAACAATAACCCATCAACCATATTCACTACTATAAATCAAACTGTTCATCATGGGGAAGTGGAACAGAATTCTTCCTTCATAAGCCATGCGTGTTGTAAGAGGCGACTAAAATGCCAGGAGCAAGAGGCTAGTAACCCCCTTCTCCTGTATACGTATACAGTGGACCCCTGCATAACGATTACCTCTGAATGCGACCAATTATGTAAGTGTATTTATGTAAGTGCGTTTGTACCTGTATGTTTGGGGGTCTGAAATGGACTAATCTACTTCACAATATTCCTTATGGGAATAAATTCGGTCAGTACTGGCACTTGAACATACTTATGGAGTGAAAAAATATTGTTAACCAGGGGTCCACTGTATTACTAAATGTAAAAAGAGAAACTTCTAGGTAGTAGGTTGGTAGACAGCAACCGCCCAGGGAGGTTCTACCATCCTGCCAAGTGAGTGTAAAACAAAAGCCTGTAATTGTTTTACATGATGGTAGGATTGCTGGTGTCCATTTTTCTGTCTCATAAACATGCAAGGTTTCAGGTACATCTTGCTACTTCTACTTACACTTAGGTCACACTACACATACATGTACAAGCATATATATACACACACCCCTCTGGGTTTTCTTCTATTTTCTTACTAGTTCTTGTTCTTGTTTATTTCCTCTTACCTCTATGGGGAAGTGGAACAGAATTCTTCCTCCGTAAGCCATGAGTGTTGTAAGAGGCGACTAAAATGCCGGGAGCAAGGGGCTAGTAACCCCTTCTCCTGTATATATTACCAAATGTAAAAGGAGAAACTTTCATTTATTCTTTTGGGCCACCCTGCCTCCGTGGGATATGGCCGGTGTGTTGAAAGAAGAAAGAAATCAAGCTGTAGGTAAAATATTCTATATGTCTGATTCAGACATAAAGAAAATCATGTTATCTAGTAAAATTAACTTTTCTCGCAACTTTTATAAGCATTATGATTAGTCTGCCCGAAATGCTGGTGCACAATAGTGGCTTTCTTTGTGTGTACCAGTACTCTCTTAGGCATGAACTACAGTGTGTGCGTTACACAAAGAAATAAAAATATGAATTTGAATTTTGAGTTAGACTCGTGGTTTATACAATTCTCACTTTGTCGTCATCCTTGATGATGTATTCAACAGTGTGACTGATGATGATCCTCACATACTGGGATGACAATAAACAATATACAGTCTTGTATTTTATTATATTTTTATTATTAACACATCGGCCGTTTCCCACCAAGGCAGGGTGGCCGGAAAAAGAAAAACTTTCATCATCATTCACTCCATCACTGTCTTGCCAGGGACATGCTTACACTATAGTTATAAAACTGCAATATTAACACCCCTCCTTCAGAATGCCGGCACTGTACTTCCCATCTCCAGGAATCAAGTCCGGCTTGCCGGTTTCCCTGAATCCCTTCATAAATGTTACCTTGCTTACACTCCAACAGCACGTCAAGTCCTAAAAATCATTTGTCTTCATTCGCTCCTATCTAACATGCTCACCCACGCTTGCTGGAAATCCAAGCCCCTCACACACAAAACCTCCTTTACCCCCTCACTCCAACCTTCCTAGGCTGACCCCTACCCGGCCTTCCCTCCAGTACAGATTTATGCACACTCGAAGTCATTCTATTTTGTTCCATCCTCTCTACATGTCCAAACCATCTCAGTAACCCCTCCTCAGCCCACTGGATAATAGTTTTAGTAATCCCACACCTCCTCCTAATCTCCAAACTATGGATTCTCTGCAATATATTCACACCACACATTGCCCTAAGACATGACATTTCCACTGCCTCCAGCCTTCTCCTTGCTCCCGTACAAGAGCGTTGGTATAACTATACTCGCATACATTCCCCTCTTTGCTTTCATGGATAAAGTTCTTTGTCTCCACAGACTCAGTGCACCACTCACCTTTTTCCCTTCATCAGTTCTATGATTCACCGCATCCTTCATAGACCCCATCTGCTGACACGTCCACTCCCAAATATCTGAACACATTCACCTCTTCCATACTCTCTCCCTTCAATCTGATATCCAGTCCTTCGTTGCCTAATTTTTTTTATCCTCATCACCTCAGAATCTCCCAAAAGCACAGTGTCATCAGCAAGAGCAACTGTGACAACTCCCACTTTGTGTTAGATTCTTTTATCTTTTAACCCCACACCTCTTGCTAATACCCGAGCATTCACTTCTCTTACACAAATAACCCGCACATAGAAGAGAGAAGCTTTCGATGACGTTTCGGTCCGACTTGGACCATTTACAAAGTGTGACTTTGTAAATGGTCCAAGTCGTACCGAAACGTCGTCGTAAGCTTCTCTCTTTTATGTGCGGGTTATTTGTGTATCGTTCCAGTCACGGTATTGTACCTTTTTTTGTTATTCACTTCTCTTACTACTCCATCTATAAATATATTGAACAACTATGGTGACATCACACATCCCTGTCTAAAGCCTACTTTTACTGGGAAATAATCTCCCTCTCGCCTGCATACTCTAACCTGAGCCTCGCTATCCTCATAAAACCTTTTCACCGCTTTCAGTAACCTACCTCCTATTCCATACATTTGCAACATCTGCCACATTGTCCCTTTATCCACCCTATCATATGCCTTTTCTAAATCCATAAATGCTACAAAAACCTCTTTACCCTTATCTAAATACTGTTCACCTATGTGTTTCACTGCAAACACTTGGTCTACACACCCTCCCTACCTTTCCTAAAGCCTCCTTGTTCATCTGCTATCCTGTTCTCTGTCTTACTCATAATTCTGTCAATAATAACTACCATACACTTTACCAGGCACACTCAGCAGACTTCTTCTCCAATAATTTTTAGTCTTTTTTTTTTTTTTTTTTTTTTGTCCCTTTTGCCTTTATACAAAGGAACTATGCATGCTCTCTGCCAATCCCTAGGTATCTTACCTTCTTCCATACATTTATTAACCCTTTCAGGGTCGAGAGGCCCTCTCCAAAACTTGTTCTCAGGGTCGAAAATTTTTCGGAAAAAAAAAAAATTTCTCTCAGGGAAAGATAGAGAATCTTTTCCCAATCATAATGACACCAAAAGTATGAAATTTGATGGAAAACTTAGGAATTACACTCTCACAAAGTTAGCTGTCTCGACGATGTTTATGCATCGGCGATTTTGCCCACTTTGAGCCCTATTTTCGGCCAATTCCAGTGTACTGGAGTTTACCTGGAGAGAGTTCCGGGGGTCAACGCCCCCGCGGCCCGGTCTGAGACCAGGCCTCCTGGTGGATCAGAGCCTGATCAACCAGGCTGTTGCTGCTGGCTGCACGCAAACCAACATACGAGCCACAGCCCGGCTGATCCGGAACTGACTTTAGGTGCTTGTCCAGTGCCAGCTTGAAGCCTGCCAGGGGTCTGTTGGTAATCCCCCTTATGTGTGCTGGGAGGCAGTTGAACAGTCTCGGGCCCCTGACACTTATTGTATGGTCTCTTAAC